AGTGAGCGAGCGGCTGCGTGGTGTTTGGCTGCCTGCCAGGTTAAACCACAACATCCATACACATGTATGCACACTCTTCTATACCAAACTGACCACTCTGGACACAATCTAAAGAACCTATGTACATGTTAGTTTTTTCAGGATTGAGATCAATGTCAATGGCTGTTAAATAGCTCTAATAAAATTTATGACCAAGTTGCAATAACTTCAGTTACTGTGGAATGGGCGAGTTATTCATTAAGACAATTTTTAACCCACAATCAGGAGAAGCAAACAAAGAGATTTTAAGTCTCTCTAAAAAAACCTTCAGTTAATTTTCAAACAAAAGTGTTCCTTGGCATCTCAGCTGTTAGAAAAAGATGTATCAAGTAACTTTTTTTCTTTAACCCACTACTTTCACAAAGAAAGAAAATTATTTGATTGCTACCCATTTTCATTTAGTCTTGAATAAATTCATATATTACTGAGACAATTGAGAATGGGTTGTCATTATGCTCGGTACTCACGAACTGCAGAGAAACAAATGATTCATACCTCTGAGAACTTACGAACTAAACAGAAAAGGATGAAGGACGACACACAAGTAGAGTGAGCGACTGATCACAGCAAGCATCATTGTAGCTTCATGACTTAATCAAAATTATGTTCATTTCAGTTTTCTGTAATATTTATTTACCTGCATGAACTGAAATGATGCTTCAAAATCCTCCACGGGATACATCTTTACTCGAAAAAACTTCATTCCCATAATCAAACTGATGATACTTTGTACTATGTGAGGACTCTGTTCTTTTTGTCGCAGTTCTTTTAGTTCAGTGACAAACTTCTTCCTAACAGCTTGAAACCTGAACAAGGGATATAGATGGTAATTATTTGCATTCTTTGTTTTATATGATGTCTATAATAACTGATTTCTTTAGTCCATTAATGATAACAGCACCTACAGTAAAAGAAACACAAGCAAGATGAATCCTGATACTTAAAATCTAGGCATTTAAAAGTGATGATCAGCACGTTAGAATATACTTGTTAACTGAACAACAACTATTGACTGATACCAGGCCTCCCTTCCCTGCACCTACAAGTTGACAGCAAAGCAATTCAGAATTCTACTAAAGATTATTTCTTGATTTGTTCAAATTTATTGTGATGGAACATGAGACGGACACGCCAGACTACACCTGACTACACTTGACACTTAAGGGATTAGTTACTGGAGTCACTAATAAACGCTGTTATATTAAATTCTCTTTAAGTCTAGAGTCATTTTTACCCAAATGCAAGAAGAGTCAGAGACTCAACTTACTTTGATTGAGCAAGAACCCCTGTCACTTCTGCATATAAGTCTGCAATAATATGCACATTCCCAGTGTTGGTTCCTGAATACCTAAAGAGGAAAAAAAAGGAAAGAAAGAAAGGGGAAAAAAAAAAAAAAAGAAGGTGTTAAATACAACTTTGTTCTTCTAAACCCCAAGTGCGTTCTTAATTACAAACAAAAAGTTTGTTCCATAGCAAGGTGGATTATTACCATAAAAACAATGAAAGTCAAGCATAAAATGCATGGATGAGATTTAAAGTGATGTAATTTCATTGAGTGGACATAAGAGACATATTCTGCATAGGAAGTTTACTATAGTTATCCAAACTCAGACTTCTCTTACTCTGGCTGGCTATGCAAATAATTCTGTATATTCTAAGCAAAATAAACTTGGCATTATATTGAACACAGCTGTGTTCTTTCAAGGTATGTTTTCAGTTTAAAGATATCAATAAGTGTTCATCTACAGTATTATCACCAACATGTTACATCTGAGGCAAAGGAGAACAGTCACAACAATCAAGCACAGGCTAGTAATACACACAAAATACTTTAAAGTGCACAAGTGAAACTTACCCTTCCTTATGTTTAAAGTGCTTAAAAGCCAAGTTTAGAACTTCATGTACTAAAGGATCTGGCACTGGATGAACAGGTATCTGAAATGCAGGTATCATTTTTATGTATGTAACTATGCATGTATATATACACGTATGTACATATGAAGTAAATAAACAGTACTGTGAGATGCCCTGTAGAAATCTCTCCCACTACTGTCAAAGGTCACGTCCTTTGTTGGCATACGATATCAAGTTAATTCTGCAATATACGAACATTTACACAAGCTGTATTGACATTCTCTTCAACTATTTTGCATACTGGTGTTTAGGGATTAAATTCATAATAAAATAAACAACAGTAATATAAACACTATGAATTTGTCATCCAAATTTATCAGACTAGGTTAACTATGCATCTTTCCACACTTTCTACCTTGTGTGGTGTTACTATTACAAACTTAACTTCAAAATGCAATTCATCTCGATAGAAAGGAAGACAAAACCAAAAAATAAGAATGCAGAAGAGGTGATCATCCCCATTTTTTACTTTCTGCAGATGAAAGCAGCCAAAACATATAAAAATCTTCCCAGCAATAAGCAACAATTTGGTGAGAAACCAAAACCAAGCATTGATTAAAAGGCCCTTTTCTACTGAAGTTCTCTTTGATGTCACCACTTTTCTCAGGTTTAAAAGAAAACGTTTGCTTAAAAATCAAATGTATTCCTTAAAAAAAGCACTATATTTAACTACGAAGTCATAATATCTTTAAAATTTCAAAGCGATTTAGGTGGGAGCTAGGATAACCCTGCTAAACATTACTGCTTAAGAGTGATTAAGATTTTCACTAAAATATATTAGAAGAAAAGGTTACTGTCTTGTCTACAGAAAATGAAGCACTTACTGCTTGAGAATTTCATACTCTTCTGCATCAAGAAAACTATTTGTCCAAGAACTTCCAGTTACTGGAACTGGCTATTTACATGCATATTCATACAATAAGTAATATGTAGTCATTTAAGCAAAAAATTTTTGTTCCTACATAGGTCATGTCTGTCACCCTCTCTCTGGTTGCTCTGTGGATATTACAGAAAGGGCTGGACCATTCCCTTTGCACCCTCTAAAAACAGTTTGTAAGATTTAAACAATGATAGGGCTCCCAGGAAGACAGGAAGATGGATGTCATGTGAATTTAAATACCTTTATTGATAAAACCTTTATTGATAAAAAGCCATCCTTTCTGCGCTTTATTTGACTGCCTAATTGCAGATTCACATTACAGGCAGAACATACAAACCCTCCTTTAGATAACTTTTAATACTAAATTGACCGAAGGATTCTCTTAGGTGGTGTATCTATGTTTAGTGGCCCATTGCAGGTCTTTAGCAGAGGAAAATATCCTTATCAGAAAGATACCTATTTTGCCTGGAGTACAAGCATGAGAGGCTCACCAAGCATTACAGGAGTCACCACAGACTCTCTTCAAGACCAAAACTTTGGCACCTCTCCTGACATCTGAATCACTGGCAACATGTACTCTACTCAATAGAAAAAACTAGTACCAGTTCAAAATACAGAAGCTACCCATACAACCCTGCAATCCTAAAAAACCTATTCCATTTCCCCTTTCCTTTAGCACTGATAGAAAATTTAGGCAGGGAGAGAGCATGAAATAAAGACTTTCTGTAAAGCCGTAACATATAAGAGTTTGATGGTTTTAATACTGTTCTCTGCATCTCTGTGCAATGCAGTATAGGAATATCACTTTGGATGATTGGTCAGTGTCTCAGAGAAGGATAGGCAGCTCTTGTTTCACTGTTTTCATTTTTCCCTATATCACAAACATGCCACACATAACCACATAAACACAAATTTCCTACAAATTATTTGCAAACTAAACCACAGTCCTTGCTTTACTTAGTAGAGAAAGCCATTTAATTTTCATGTGCCTATATGTAAAAGACATAAACTACTTAAGTATTTGAAAAATGAAATTTGCTCAAGTCTGCTTCATGTTTCAAACCCTTTCTTACAGTAATCTTTTTCTCCTCTCAAAAAGTGCAAAGAAAAAATGCTGCTACTTAAGCCAAACTCTATCCTCTTGTCCATACACCAATGCAAATTTTATATTAACAGAAATCGTACGTGTTAACATCATCTAGCACTACATTATAAGGCAAAGCAAAATTACCTACCCTTTCTAATTTTCTTAAGATGTGACATTTTAATCTTGTCATTCAATGATTTCACACTGTATTTCAAAAATGTTTAAGCAGTCAAAAGGCACTGAACATAAACAAAATGCTATTTTTTACAGTTTTGCTTTTTGCAGCACATCAGCAGCTTTGACTTAGTGAATCCAAGACATGTGAACTGAGATAATGCAGGCATGTAAAGAAAAGACAGGAGAGGCCAAAAGCTTTATGTAACTGAGAGCATAATTACAGCCTTGCATATGCTTATCATATATATGCTCCAGTTTTTAATATAAAAATTTAACAGAGATGATCAAAACTGACATTAAACGAAAAAGATTAAAAGTCTGCCAAAGCAAAAGAGCTTACCTGTTTTAGAACCTCTATTAAAACTAAACAAAAAATGAAATCTACAGCTAAGTCCCTCCTTTCAAGTAGATAATCTCTTTCACGTTGTTGGTCATCCCTAAAATAAGAAATCAAGAACACACATATTATACACAAGACTGAACACAAATATCAAAGAGAAGGGGTATACATGTCTTTCACGCAATCATTGTTGCACACATATATAAAATGGATGGTTAGAAAGACTTTGGGGTTTGGTGCAGCACTGACATCTTGCCCCCTCCTAACCAAAACAATTCAAAAAGGGGACAAACTAGCTTGGAATTATCAGCGTCCAACTTCCTTCTGTATATCAAGCCCAAAATCATTAAGGCACTGCATGCATATCATCTACGCAAGTTAAATACACTACCTCAAAGAAGCGCATGCTCTTTCTATACAGATTTAGGTAATGACAGATCCAAATACAAAATACTTGTCAAAAAAGTACAAAGCACACATTTTCTTACAAGAAAGCACACAAAAGTCAAACAGACTTTTGCAAGGAAAACTCTTACCCCTTTGATTTTGTGCTAGATCGAGGTCTATATTCATAAGATTCATCTTCTGTTCCATTTTGACGCCTGTACCAGTCAAACAAGGTGCGTAATAAGGAGGGGAGACAGTGCTCTGCTACTGAGCTCATAGAGCTTATCAACTGAAAAAAATTAAGAAGAATAGTTTAGCATGATAAAGCAATCTAAAAATCCTAGAATTATAATCATTCTTTCAGATTTGTATTTAACATAAAAAACTGTGTATCGTATAATTTTACCAAGTGGCAACTTTATCTATCATTTTCACCTAGGACAACTGCTGTAAATATGACACTCTAAGTCAATTATTATGACAAACGTAAGCAGACAAAGTGTTCCAAAGCTCACAGGGATCAAAGAATCCTAAATTTATACAGATAACCCATATAAAACCCTTAAGAAAACAGCACATATTTTAGGATGTCCCTGAATGTTGCCATATGTATCTCTGAAGTATACGTACTTTTACATTACAAATGACAGATAAGAGATAACCCTCCTAAACCTTCCAAAACATGCTTCTTTGGTTATTATACAAACAAAAAAAAGAGCTTTTTAGATACTCTACTTTTAATACATTTGACTGTCTAGATCTCAAGTTATATTTATTTTCAGCATAACTCCCCTATCTACTGCCCTCTTTCAGAAAACCCATATGAGTCGTAAACTTATCCATGAAACAGTGGCAATAGAAACCATTATGGAACGAAGACCTTAACGTGGTATGAAACTTAAACTCCCGCGGCTTCCTTAACTTAAACAGAGCTCGCCAGTGGCCAGGCTTGGAGAGGAGAAGAATGACTGGAGAAAGACAGCATAAAACAGCTATAAACTCCCTGCTGGGAGGCAGCAGGGAGCAAGCCCATCCCCAAAACACTGGCTGGAAAAGAAGAGTTACCACATTGCTCACTGATGCCACATATTAATTACCTCTTGCATCTTTCAAATAAGTTTCAATAGAAGCCACCCTCATGCGATAACTTATCTATTATTCACTATTCTGGAAAACCAAGATAATGTCAACGCCATTGTTTCTTTGTCCTCATTTGAAGCATCTTGTTTTTTCAGGTTTGTGGAAGGGATGGGGGCAGGTTAACCATAAGGAATCATCAGAAGGATCTCTTTCAACCATCTGAATACTCTACTCAGCTTGTTAACTAGTCAGCTATTCAAGTCACAAGAATTAAGTAGTAGTATTGACTTTCTGAAAAATCCCTGAATTATACAGACAAGCGGAGAAACCTCCTGAAAATAAGTAAAGTCGTATTCTATGAATTCATAAAATGTTACACCCCAGTATACAATACAAACTGCATATATTCCAAACCTGAAGAGGAACTAGTTTCCCTAAGAAATTTTTATTAGACTAATGAGATTATGTTTTTCTTATTATGTCTGTCAATAGGACACCCACTAACAAGGGATGCAGTGGAAAAACTAGGCATGCCTACTGCAGGAGAGGCACACACGTTGAGCTAACTGCACAAAAAGGTGAAGGCAGTTACTGCAGGCAACACAAAAACATACAAAGTATTTTAAACACAGAAAAGAAACAGAAGCTAGAAATGAAGTGTAGGCTTGCTATAGCGCCTCGCATTTTGGAATAAACACTAAATTTTGAGAATAGCTTCATCTTATACTAATATATGCTGAAATCTTTACGACTTGCTTTGGAAACCAAGCGTGTTGTAAGCTTGTTCCTTGTGCTCCGATATCCATACAAAATAAATACCCACTCAACCAACCAACACATATCAGACTTCTAGAAGCAGACAATATAAACAGCTCAATTTTACCACTGTAAAGTAATACTATGATCTGAAATAAAGCAGTGCGTGATGAAATGGAACGTGTACAAATTAAGATGTTGCTCAAGAGAATTTTCTGATGTGGCAGAAGTCTAACAAACTTCCTTGGAAAAAAAAACAACAGCGAAAACTTGTGAAGAGGGAGAGGAGAAGAGGAAAGAAAAATTATGAGGAAATTTGAAACACTTCTGGGCTAATATTAAAACTATCATCCTTTACAAAGAGGAAGCATCAGAAAAAAAAACCTCAAAAGACTAATGTTTATTGGTAAGACTTCGAGAAATCTTCACTGAGTTTTCACTAGCAAGAAATGCCTGCTACTTGCATCAGCTTGGGGTACTCAAACATATGTTGACCTCACTAGCATTCTCCAGCCATGAGCAGAAATTGCAAGTTAAAAGCATTAATATATTTTGGGGAAAAAAATTATTCAGAAACCAGAAAGAACAAACCCTCCTCATGAGTTACTAAACTGAAGGTATTAGACTCAGCATAAAATCACCAGCGTAACTGGTACTGGTAATCCTTAGAATGAAAGCTAAAGCTAAACTTGCTGAAGAAGGGATCTATCACCAACCACAGCACTCCAAAATGTGTTTTGCCTTCAGAATTTACTGTCAATTTTCATACCCCAAATAACATAAACACTGGGAAAATACATTAATTTCTCTTTCTCTAAAAATAATGATATATGCAATACGTGGCACAGAGCTACGTTCATACAGGAACTACACACACAACAGGACAGGAACAGATTAAGCCAACACTTAAGTCACCCTGTGCTGTCAATGTAAAATGCCCCCACAAAGCACTTCTACTCCTCTGCCCTCCTTCTGAACTGACGGGTTTATTAGTAGAAGAGAAAGAAGAAAGCTGCATCTTAAGCTTTACTAAGCCTTTTCCTTAGGTTTTCCTGCAAGTTTACACAGTATATTAATACTACTACCACTCATAAACTTCCAGCAGTTGGGCAATTTACATCGTCTTCCACAGACACAAGCTGTATCACATGCTTTAAAAAAAATTGTCATTGGTAAAGTGCTAAACCCAGAAACTACTGGCATTATAAAGCATTTTCCTCTTGAAATGAAAAAACAGCTTTACATTATAATTATTTACTTCCTGCCAAGTTTTGCATCCTTAACATTTTAATGAAAAGGCACTGGAATTATCAGGAAGATGAAATCTTTGCTCATATTACATAGCTGCTAAGCAGAACGTGAGCTATATGCTTATTCTTTTTATTTAAAATAATTATCATATTGCTTGGATACTAAATTCAGGATCATCTTCTATAAAAAGTATAAGAAAACCCTTTTATTTTAGCATTAAATTATGCCTAGGTTGAAAGCAGCAATCCAGACAAAGACAGATCGTGTAATGCCCAAGAGGACAGGGCTGGACTAGTCATCATGACATATATTCCTCAGAATGAAACAGCAAAGCGTGCTCCAGTCTTAAAGGCCGTAAAGCATTGCTAATCGCTGCACTTCACATACCCAACAGCATGCTGAGAGGTAAGGAGAGAGAGATGCAAAATTATAGTAAGATGCTAGAGCCCAAATTCCAGCTATGGCCAAAATCCTGATCCTGAAAACATTGCTCAAGTTGTGCCTAATCACAAACAAGCCTGAATCCCAGAGACACGTCTGATTTCAGCAAAGTCACTGAGATGGCCACAATATACTTCTGCATGATCATAAAGTTTTGGTGTCTTAGGACAAGAGTAGAAAATTGCCAAGTATGATTCCTACCACAAACAAAACAAGAAAAATACAAGCTATTTCAGTTTCAAGCTGTACAAGCAAAAATATTTTAAGAAATGCAATATATGCTCTATAAAAAAATTCCTCTCCGGTAGCTTCTTGATGCACTGGGAATGATAAAGGGAAAGCACTGGTACTAAAATGCTAAAATTTTTAACAGTTTAGAAGTGTATCAACATAAACATTTCCTTCTCATTTTCCAAAGTTTCGTCTCTTTTAGTTAAATTTACATTTTTGTTCCAATTAAAACCTCAATGACAAATAAAAGAATTGTACTATTTGAAATTTAAAACCTATTGATTTTGCACACTTGGATCTAATAGCAGCCATCTTGGTCTGATTATGCTTCCAACAGAAACAATTTATAATCCCATTAAACAGCTATTTTACTTTTTCATTATAGGGACAGTCAACACTACACGCCTTTCTCCCCTGTCCCTCTTCTCATCACTTATGGAGCCGAGAGAATGATTGTTAACTTACTCCCAGAGTCCCTCTTGTGTTTCAGCCATGCTCTTTTTATTCACAAAGTACAACACTTACTAGCTCAGACACCATATCAGTACAGCTACAGCCACTTCTTAGACTTGAATTCCTAACTCCATAAAGATCTCCGGGTGAACAAGGTTGGCCCAGCGACAGCGCTAGCTTCTCTGCTGTGTCAGTGGATGCTGTGGCCATGCACTCTGGACCCTCCTCTCTCCCACACTTTGCCAATCTCTTTTTACTCTGCAGTCTTCTGCACTGCTGGAGAATTGATCTTAATATGGGTTTCCTACACCCAGCAATGAACAGAGGGAAACAATCTTAATTCCTTTTGCCAAACAATGTTCAAAATTCCCTATCAAAATTTACAATTCCTGTCACCACAAGGGAACCCTTCCGCTCTGACTCTCTAAAGTAGTTTTTCAGTGCCATTAAAATTCAGATCTCAATGAACCCAAAGTAGATTACAAATAACAAAAGAACAAAATAAGAACTCAGGCACACACACACACACTCACACACACACAATCAAAATGAATTATTTTCAAAGTACTTACATTTTCAGGAAAACGAGCTTATTTCTATATTACAAGATTTCAAAAGTTATATGCTTTATTTTTTACTTTTCTTCACTCAGCATATTTTTAAAACCTATATATAGTTGAATATATGACTACTAGTGATTTATAAAAAACATCCTTAACTGAGGAAAAATGTGGGGGTGGGAGCCGGAGTTAGTAGAAAAATCAGTAGTATTACAGATTTCTTTAGATCATCCCTATCATGCATATTATTTAGCTTTTGGTCAGCTTTAAAACAAAATACTGAATTTATGCCCTATCCCCCCTCACCCATTTTCCTTGCTTATGAGTAAACTTTCATTTAGGAGATAATGGCCTTACAGCAGATTAGATTAGAAAATATTAAAAGGCTATGTGAGGTTTTTGGTGGTGGTTTTGTTTTTGTTTTTCTTTGAAAAGAAAACTATACATCAAATATTACATGCTATTATTTGTTTCTCTTTTGGGAGGAGGGAAAAGAGGTGCACAGATGGCTATCAATTGAAAAGTAGGGGCAGGTCCGCAGATTTCACCGCAGTGTCTAATACCTACATCCAAGGAGTAATGGAAAGCATGAAACAAAAATCCAGTTAGAGAAGATATGGACAGAACACTAAACTCCATACAGCAAGATGCTATTCATTAACAGTTAAAGACAGGAACAGGCAATTAATGGGGCTTCATCTGAATGCTGCCTCTCTGTTGCAAGGAAGCAGTTACGGGACAAAAACATGCCTATACTATGAGAGAGTTAGAAATACAGACAATAAACATGAATAAATCAAGCAGAGAGTTATTCCAGGTACAGTTCACTTATAGTAAGTGAAACAGAATAGCCTCACAGTGAGACTATACACTCAGCAAAGGGCAAAGTAATATTTTGAATCTACCTTATGCCTTCTGCCATAGAATCAAAAAGCCCTCAGTAAAAGCCATGTTACTGAAATAAACAGTATTTGCTTATAAAAGCAGAACCCCAAACACTGAAACAGTAAGTGATATAGGCTGAGGTTACACAAAGCCTGTTAACAGGAATAGAAATAAATTCTTTTTGTCCCCTACTACATTTCAGCATCTTTCCTACAGCAGCTTTCACTGCCACCTTCAAATAATTAATCTATTCTAGTAGTTTCTTACTATCATAATCTAAAATGGAAAATAAAGTCTAACTAACATTCAAGGTCTAAATCTTCTGACGCTGATTCACATGTGGATGTTCCAAGTCATTACAACAGTGGAACCACTCTTCTGCAAAAACAGAGGCCACCTTAGTCCAATAAAAACTGCCTTCAATTACGTGTCTCCTACCTGATCAAACTGAAGATCTTCACCTCTTTGAAGAGATCTGGACAAGAGCTTTTCCTGTAAAAAAAAAAAAAAAGAAACATGAATTTCACAATGCAATCGATCAAAGATAGATTTCTTCTTTCTCAGTTATATTACAGAACAAAGAACAAACTTTTAATGTCAGTATTTGCATTATTTTTCAGCTAGAGCCATTTTTGAAGATGGGAAGAATACAGTTCTAAAATTAACTGGGTAGCTTAATAGTAATAAGGTTAAAGACTGACAAATAGAAAATGTCAAACACCACTCCCAAACAGCAGGGCCTACAGCAATGTGTTCAACAAAGATAGCTGGCATTGGGTGCCAAGTGTAACTTAGAAGGAAAGTCATTCCCATCTGAATTAACAAGCACATTCATGTTCATGTAAGGCAGTTATTGTAAGCTACAAGAATGAATTTTAAAATCCCTCAAAAAGGCAGAGACAATTGTTCAATGCATTTCCAACCTGTGCTTTCCCTGAACTGCAATGAAAAATAGCTAGAAAACCTAGTCCAGGAAAAGGAGAATATTAATAACAACTTGCTTGACAGTTGAAATAACTTTGTAAGGAACAGAAAAGATGCAATATTACTAGAATTTAATTATTACAATATTTCATTGCTACCAGTACCATAAGACATACTGCTCTGTTAAAAGCAAAATTAAATAATATTCCTGACAAAATAATTCAGTGAGAATTAAAGCATTAAGAAAACAAAACTCTCATGGCACTTAGGGACATGGTTTAGTGGTGGACTTGGCAGTGTTAGGTTTACGGTTGGACTTGATGATCTTAAAGGTCTTTTCCAACCTAAAGGATTCTATGATTCTATGAACTGTAATAGTAAGGTAATAGTAATTCTTACTAGTCACTGTTGAGAGTACCAAATTATACAGTTACAAGAAATACAACTTCTATAGTCTCCTGCTAAGGTATCCTGGAAAGTAAAAAAAAGAAAAGGGGAAGAAAAAAAAAAAAAAACCAAAAAGACTAAATCCCATGTACTGGCTCTGAGAGTCTTACAGTAAGCCAAGTGCCATATTAACAGCTTTAAGGGCGTACTACAAAGCAGTAAGATATATAAAGATGTGATCAGCATTTCTTGCTACTTACAGAAATTTTAAACTACTTTTCACTTCATTTTGTCGAGGAAGGTAGAAAAAGTACTCAAGGTAAGTACTCACATTAGATTGCAGTAAGCAAACAAAGAGCTTTTATGGAGCAAATTAAGTCAAGTAGTAAGCTAGAAGGGCTGTTAATTTGCCTGGTCTGGGATGTAAAAGGAGGTGTCAGCGGTACTGATAGCCAGCACTACTCTCAACAGGTTGCGCCCCAGCTAACACAAAGTAACTGCTCAGTAGTTTAGTAAGAGACAAAGCCCATGCTGTCAGGCTGTTGACAAAAATTTAAAAAGTCAATATTTCTTGGCATTTAACACTTCCAAGGCTGCAACAGACAGGTTCTATGTTAAACAGATACAAATTGGGATTGCATGCACCAACTCCAAGATTCAAACTGGCAACTTATTTTCGCTTGTCCTAATCGTAATCTTGAAAACAGGAGACAATTTCTGGCATTTTCTGCTATGAGTGCAGCTGTATTTGGTGTTCAAAAAGACACAATCTCTGGCAACTATTACAGCCTCTGAAAACTTGAATTCAACATTGCCCAAGCAAAAAGCATTTGCCTACTCTGAAAGTATAACTTGAAATAATACAGGTACCAATTCACAAGTCAGACCATTTTCACTTTCTATAATCCAAAGAAATCCACTTAATTGTCTAAGAAAACACTGTCATTTATGTAGACTTCCAGTATGTCTAAATAAAAAATATTTTAAAAAAAAAGGTGGTTTCAGAAAATACATTTAACATTCAGAAATAGTTCTATTTGTTCATCGACTGATGTATTACCCAATGTTCTGTCACTGTGTATTCAAAAGCAAGGGGGAAAAGGTTTCAGATACTGGCAAATAAACACTTATTTGAATCTTACAAATTCATATAATTTTACGTGTTAAGTATTTTCAAAATACTGTTATGCGAATTGACATTTTGCAGCAGATACCAAAAGCTCCAGAGAGCACTTGCAAATCAGAATTCACTTTTAACTAGAATTCCTCCCTCCCCTTTTTTTATAAGGAAACATCTACTGTAGGTGAATTCATGTTACCTGTACTATGCTTTTAGATAAACTGCACAAGTAATTTTTTAATCTTATCTATAAAGCAGAAACATGAGAAATGTTCCACCCTATATAAACACCGTATACTGCTGAATAAGCTGAAGGAAAATAACTAGAAAAATATTTCCCAAGAAGATGGAGAAGTGACTTTCCTGTAGGAAGATGGTAAATAATCAGGTTCCTTAAGTCTCCTTATGATACAATGCCCCAACATGCCACATTTCCACCATGGTACTACAAAGCTATTATACAGGTGAACAAACGCAGGGTTTATTATATCCATTGCATGTGTCTAAAACCAGAAATAGCTAAAGAAAAGAATGATAACAAATCAAAGAGAACTGAAATAATCCTTAAGTTTTTAGACGAAGAAGTTGAAATACATGTCAATATAGCAAACTATTTTTAAGATAGTTCTGAAAGTTTAGCTTTTTTCCCCCCACATTCTATACTGAGACACTTCTGTACATCAAATGTTGATACAATTTTAGATTTTCAGTATCAGAAAGAATTAAGACCTTACAAGTTCATAATCCTCTCTATTATTTTTCCTCAGCATTAAAAATCTTAACTGCTAAAAGGTAAATATCACCGTAAGTAATGTAACACCTACCACATAAATGTGACATGACCAAATAATACTCTTCAACCCAGCCACAGGTTTATCAAGGCTTTTGAATTATTTGTATGGCTTTAAAATTTTTTTTTTTTTCAATGTCTTTTTCTAACTCTGCTTTGTCATGGCCCCAGTCATCTCACATGACTTACAAAAATCTATCCAACAGCATAAAGTAAAGGTCTGAAAACTTCCACTGAATTAATAATTTAAGAATTATTTTCCTGGCTTCCTGAAGTTCAGAGAGAGATGGAAATAATAGGTCTACATTTATCTTTTATAAGAAGCGAAATGAAAAAAAAAACCCACTATTGAATTAAGCAGAGAGCAGTTTGCATCCATTGTGTAAAGCAGAAATGTCAACATATGGCAGGCACCAGAGATCAGGATGTAGACAGACCTGTGTGTGCTGTGCAAACAACTGCACCCGGGGAAAAAGGTACCACCCGTTGGCCCCACTCCAGTATTCACCGGCACCGTCCTCTGGTGGCTAGCACACCTCAGCAGGGCGGCTCAGGTGAACGCAGCAAAACTAGCACACTTGTTTCTGTCCTCCAAGCTGCAAGTAAGAAACCAGAGGAGCGATGCTGTCTTGCCTCCCTTAGCCCAAGTGCTGGGCAGCGCCTTCATCCTTGCCCCAGCGTCAGAGCAGCGTACAAGAAACGCTGCGCTGAAGAAATGCAGTGTGCTAAATTTTACAGATTTCAGACAAGCTTTTGAAAGCACCTAGGCAAGACTTGCAAAAGCGTACAGTATTAGTCTGAGCAATGTTTCATTTCTCCATGATGGGATAAAATAAGCCTGTTGCCAACACCCCCGAAATACTCTTGCTGGTTTTCACTTAGACGTGAGACTGAACTACAATTTAGTAAGTTAGCAGCTTACCTAGTTAACAGCTTGGTAACTTGGTGGTACTGTGTTAAACTGTCTCTGCTTAAATTCTAACCGTCTATACTTACATGCAGCCTGACAAAATACAAGGTAACTGAATTTATCACTAATCTTTTTTACTGGTATAGTTTGCTTGACATTTGGGGAAGGCTGGTATCATGCCTCACAGTCATCCTTGCTCAACTGAGGAAGAGTATTTTAAGCTAAAATAAATCGTGCCTGAGCCCTTTTTCCTTTAAAACTATATAATACTACAAAAGACTTAGAAGAATTTATTTTAAAAAAGAAAAAAAAGGTGTTTAAATTTAATTTACTCACTAAAAAGACGATCTGCCTTCCCGCGGTTACGCTTGCTACTTGAAACATTTATTTTAAGCATTTGCTGTTAAGCTCTTTCTGTAACTTTGGAAACTCTGCGGTATTAAAATTTTGCAAGCAGAGAACTCTTAATTAAATCAGTGAAAGGAAACTACTTTGTTACTCGCTGAGTATCCTAAGTAAATTCACAGCCAGAGAAACCATTTAGTTACTTTTTAAAATCACAAGTCAGTTATTCCTAGATGAAACTCATACATCTGGCCAAAACGGTACCATCCCCTCACCCCGAGATGCTGTCTTGATCTGAAGTTAATATTTTTTTAAATTTTTTTTTTTTTTAAAATTCCTTTTTGCTCCCCTGCTGACATGTTCATCTTCAAGTTTTAAAAAGCATCTAGCTCCTAACTTTAATTGGTCTGGCTCCAAGTTCTCTCCAACAGCTTCATCCAACAGCCTAGCTTCATCTAACACATTAAAGATTTATGTAACACTATATATACTCTCCACATAAACTTTAATATTTGTAGCCAAGTCATTCCACAAAATCAAATCACACTAAAATGATAAAAGGCCTTCCTCTCCTCCTGTAAAGCCTTTTCTGCAATGTCAGTCAGTACTGTTCCTGTGCCCCTTCAGCCTTTTTCCTTTCTTTTTAAATGTCATATACTAGAACTGAATATTCAGTATTTATATCAAATTCTACAAACACAAATAAAGCCACTTTAGTACTTTCTTCCATTCAGACACCTAAGGGTTTCCTTCCACCTCTTTGTATTACACAGGCTCAGCTTGTTGCATTTTTCTACAGCTTCTAGCACCTCTTTTAAATTGCTGGTTTTCTGTATAATCCTTCCTTCCCACCAGAATAAAATATGGAATGTTGGCTATATGTGCAAATTTACATCTGCATTAAAGTATTTTGTTTAAAGGAATTCAACCTAGCAAATGAACCCAGACAGAACTGTTAAAAAGACTTTCACAAATTACTACTCCACTAATATTTACAATTTCGTATTTTACCCCAAAGCACACTGTATACTCACAAAATAACAATTTCAGAATCTTATTAGTAAAAGATCCTGACTAATGTAGGCTTCATCCAAGCACCATAGAACATCACCAGACAAAAGAGCTGGGAATCACTCTTCTTTCACAAGTGCATTATTTTATTAGTTTCATGGGTTTTCTAATTTTTAACCTGGTAAGATGTTTCGATTTTATATGATTAACAGATTTAAAAACATTTGTTTAACAGTTAACAGCGTGGCAGCGAGACGCAGCCTGGGACTGTTGTCAGAGTATTTATTTAATCCGGTCTAGGGACAGGTTTTGCAGCACAAGTGAACTGCAGGGCTATTATATTTACCTTGCTACCAGTATTCCGGTTATGAGATTTAACTCCAAACTAGCTGTGTCTACAGGAAAAGCCCTCTTCGGCACATCTGAATCACAGTCAGTCTATGTCATTCTGGCCAAGCACTACCCTCCCTGTACGTTTAGCAGATGAATGGAAAAAGGGGCCAAGACAGCGGCATTCGCAGCTGGAGGCATGTGGACCACCCCGAGTGGAGCTACCCGCTTGTCCACCCACAGCATCACTACCCCCACAGTTCTCCTCTCACTCCTTAACCACGTACCCTTCACCATTTGCGTGCCCCTTTTCCTACAAACGTTTCTGTGCTTTCTTATCAGACTCTCCTGAATACCTAACTCTTCTGGATGTCTATAAGGAAACAGACAAGTTATGTTTAAGTTGTAGGCTTGCCTGGTACACAAACACACACACATATATATGCCATGTATACCTAAGTAGGTGTGTATAAAGAAATGCTTCGTTTTCCTCAGCCTTTGATCTACTAATGGTTTTAGTTGAAGATGATCCGATCAGTGACACCACAGAACACGTTTAGCTCCCTTTTTGTGTTCTTTTGGAATGCTGCTTAGAACATTTTCCCTAAAGTTTCAAAACTGGGGTCCAAATGCTCACACGTGCCTTCTTCTGTAATATGGTCATTCACAGCAATAAAGAACACTGCTGCAAGCAGCATTTGCAAGCACAGGCCTTTCAATTTAGTTGACTTTCTAGTTATCATTTCAAATTATTTTATCTTTTGCCTGTAACTAAAAGAACTTAACTTTAAGATTTCAACACTCAAATTCATTGCATGCCAAATCTATTTTATGTCCTTGACCTATTTTGTCCAAGAGATGGTAATGCAGAGATTACAGCCCCCTGCACATATGTAAGGAACTAATAAAACTTCAAACTGCATTCACACAAAATAATTGCATCTATATAGAAATAAAAATTAAGTGTATATTGCAGGAAGTATTCCTGGCTGAACAATGTGGAAAACATCCTATAGTGCTGTAGCTATAATGCAAGGATTTCTGTTAATTCTGAAATCAGTAAGCCTGTCCTGTACATTATACTCTACCTTCAGATGATTAGAAGAAATGAGCAGAAAGAAGCACTCCTACACAAAAGCAAGTACGTAAAAATTAGGGAGAGAACAGCAGTAAGAGGAAGAGATAGTGAGAGAACCCAGCATGCAGCGGGTGGCAGCGGGTGTTGACACAAGAAGGAGACATGGAGACGCAAGCATTCGAGCGCATGCCCTTCCAACCTCAAGATCAAGCCTACTTTCTCAGAGGGGTGACCAACGAACGAACGAACAAATTCTTTTAGGAACAGCTAAAGTATGATGGTTACCAGGAAGAGAATCATCTGAATTAAGACTGCCACCATACGCTCAATTCAATGTGTCAAACACAGCTTATTGTGAAGTTCATTCTACATAGTCATATATTGCTCTTACACGGGCATCTGTGTCGCATCGTGCGTGCACAGGATGACTGTGATTGCAGCAAATTGTAATGAAGGTGTGCATCTGTCCCATTTCTTATAAAATTTGAGAGGTATGTAGGAAACAACATAGGGCAGTATGGGACGTATAAAGTTATTTTTATAGCTATTTAAAGCTATGTGGAGGAAATGGGACACCTAGAACAACAGTTTACTTGATAGCATGCCCATAATACAGCATAATCTTGACATCATGCCTTGGGCATAGCAGAGTCATGATTACCTGCCACTACACAAAGTTATAGGGTTATTAATATTTTAAAATTTAAAAAAATGTAATTATATCCAGTCAACTTCTGATTTTGTAAAATAATGATATTTTTTTTTTTTTAGCTATACAGTAACCATTTCATGAATCTTCACCACTAAAATTAAGTTAAATATTAGGTGGCCGTGAGGGCTTTCTTCCCCCAAAAGGCTATATGCATCCTTGAATGAAAAAGACTATAAGAAAAATTGCACTACAAAATATCTTCTAAACAAATTTATTACGAGAATTAAAGGAGGAAGAAAAGCACAGGGACAAGAACGTTGAGGAACTGAGCAAAGTCAAGAACATCAGAAGCTGCATTACCACATGGAAGAAATTACTGCTGTATTACATTATACCTGTAAAAATAATATTATTTTATAGAAAGTTCTGATCTGATCACAGTTGCAATGCACTGGGTATGACCTTTACAGGTCATATGTTGAGACTAGAGGGTGCATTTGCATCTCCCATTGAACACCAGAATGGCCAATCACTTGTGTAAAAAACCCCACACCTTTAAGGGATACTAATACTAACTCATAGCTCAAAAAAAAAACCCCTGAAAAAAAACCCAAAACAAGCGAAATTTCCAAGTTAAAAAAAATCCATTTCAAGATCATGAGGTCATGCAGCCTGGATCACCAACAGAATTTTGCATTTTGCCTAATCTGCAATATATAATGGCTGCTATATTCTTCCAGGTGTTAGTGTCATTACTTGGGAAAACAAACCAAATGCATCTTTTCTTGAAAGTATATTGTCAAAGTATTATTTCAAAGAAACATCAACAGGAAACACTTTACAGTGTTAATGAAGGAATATTTTTTGTTGTCACTATTTCCTTTTGTAACTTTACAGAACTTAAGAATAACAAGAGGTCTTGTTTCCAGTAACCACTCCATAACAGTTTTAACGGAAGTCAATAAAACATAATCCAGGTAGCAACCCTGTTTGCAGAAGCCTATTTATTCTTGAGATAATCCCTTTGAAAAGTCAACAATATCTGGAGATGTTTTTTTCAGTAACCATACATATGATAAATAAGCCTATTTTAGAAAAAAAGCAGGACCATTTCAAGGGATACTATGGAAAAAAAAGGACTCACCAAAGGTTCAGCCATTACAACTTCAATTTTCTTTTCAGCTTGAACAGCAAATTCAGCAAAGAGGCTTTTGATGACATACTCGCCAGGCTTGACATCTGGATCAATAGTAATGTTAGACATGATGATGCCTCTCTTCTCCCAGGTGGAAACAACACTTGGAGAAACTCTGCGTTTATTTACTCTGCTGGGTGGTGTGGAGGCTACAGAAAAAAAAGAAAAATGAAGAGCGATAAAGCAGAGCTTCTAAACACAATGCCTGTCACTTCCCTACTTTCCCGTCCACCACACAGATGTATTCACGCAGTAAATTCTGTAAACCAGAAGAAGGAAATAACTAGCTATAACATCCAACAAGAATTTTTTTTTTTTTAATTAGGTGGGAAATTCTACTGTAAAGATAAGTTGCATAAGAGTTTACAATGTAACTCTTTTTTTTTAATTGATAAAACACAAAACTGTCTTATGCTGTGTGAACAGCCCCATGCTGAACACAACTGTACAATGATCATGATACAGTTTAGAGCTTTTAAAATCTGGTATCTTCAGTACAAGTATGACTAAAAATCAAAAGTTCAATTTAAAGGGTTATCTCACTATATTGTGAGATGCATCTGATTGATCCAATTTTTATAAATAGTCCACGAAGTTCAAATTTCTACTTGGTGTCCAAATATCTTCAAGAGAAATACTTCCTTAGCCCCTCTCAGCACTTTGTGTCAGTAAGCTGATTTTCCTAACAAGAACACAAACCCTTTCTAGACAAGTATTGTTAACTATTTTTCTCCACTCTCTAGTCACTAATCTGAAAGACTTGTTCCTTATCAGAAATATTAATTGATCAATATAAATAATATTAGATATATTAGTCTCCCTCTCTAAGGATTAGCGCTTCCACTCTTATACTGAAATTGTCATATGCTAAGTTTACATATATTTATCCACCTTTAATTTTATTTTCCTCCCTAAGCACTCAAAAACATTTCTTTATTATAACTGCTGCCACACAATGTGAATTGCAGTACTGAAAATCAGGTATCAGAACTCACTCATACATGAGTTTGACATACACATAACGATTAGAGTAAAAAATTACAACTCTTGTCTTGCACACTATAAATCAAAATAACTGTTGACATCTCTAACGATGCCACAGATGTACCCAGAAAGGTCTGGTATTTCTCTAGCATATTCCATGATTGCAGACATTATTTTATTTATTGACCTTAGGAATTTATATTAAGAATTCTTACCTATTGATATAAAGATTTTATTTTCCTAAGACAGTTGTGTAAGAACCTAGTCTCAGTCTATTTTATTGTATTACATACCACGATTTGTTCAGGTAAGCTTCTTTAAGGCTTTTTGCAGTTAGAATGTAAGGAGATGCGCTTAGCCAATTTTGATGAACTTTCAAAATTTTTGTGTGTTTTCAACTTGTACATGTGCAATTCCTATTAACTAAATATTATCCACAATTTTTACTCAAACATTTCTTCAGTGTTCAACTCATTCATGAAAATACTGGTTGCCATGGAGACCAAACCTTTTGCATCTCCCCAAGTTTGAGTCTCAGCCATTCATAATTTCTTCTATCACCTCAGAAAGTTACATTTTACGTAACTTAGACTTCCTCAACTTCCATAGAAAGTATTCAATTATCCAAAGCCTTACTGAAGTGAAAAACAATTCAGCATGAGTGAAAACAGAATGGTCACAACTACCTTAGTCTCTAATCAAAAAGGAAGGTGACCTTGCATAAGTATTTTTTGTACAAACTTGCTGTCTAGTTGGTGTAATGCTTATTTTTTCCTGTACATAAATTGCAGTATGCCATCTTTGAGGCTGGAAGGACTTGCCAAGGTCACAGAGCTGACTTCCCAGCAACCAGGGCAATACCAGAATGACATGCATGCAAGCATTTCTGAACATACCTAACAGATACCATACATTTCTAAGTAAACAGTTGCTTCTATCCTAAATATGAGAGTTTCTAAGAAAGCTTAAGCTTTGTTCTACTCAACAGACACATTGGACTCTATTATTTTAAATCACAAATTGAAGCTAACAGACTGGAAAAAAATGAGAAGTTTAAATCTCCTTTTGAACATCATTAGCTGTGTCTCGTCAGAAGAAATTTAGCAAAGCAGCTGCTTTGGCTCCTTCTAGACTTACCTACCGGAGTGTGTCACAAGCCCCACATTATCAGGACTGGGGACTTAAGGGAACATGCCACAGCTCCAGTCCAGTCCATGCTCCTGAACAATGAGAAGCTGGTACTCAACCAGCTCTTGTCTCTCTATAGGGAAATTGAGAAGGACTAAGGTGCTCCTTTATCCAGAACTACATCTAGATTTGCTTTATGTAGACAAGTCTTAATAGTGTTTTTACATAATACATTTCTGTCTCTAGTTTTCAAAAGATTGCATTAAAAAGCCCCTGTCATTTAAGAACTGGGAAAACATTGAGAGCTGATCATCTTCGAAGTACTATCTTTACTTTGCATTAGTAAACTAATCCTAAGTAAGAGACCATCTTAGTATGTTAACTTTCAAAGCTACAAAACAGCTTCTCTCACTAAGGATGAAACCCCAAGGCTGCTTAGGCTGATCTAAACCCAGGCATACTGCAAGGCAAATCCTCCCCCCAGGCTCATGCGACAACATAGGAAATCAATTCAAAATGGATGAATTGGACAAAAACCTAACCCTGGCAAGAAATAAAGAAGCAACTGGACTACAACAAGACCAGCTCCCAGAAGTGTTGCAGAAATTGCAGTGCAAGGCAGAGGGCACGACCGTGAAGCCAGGGGAACATGGTACCAGGACAGCCTTACACCAGCTTGCAATGCCACGGACCCCACTCCTTGGCTACAGTTTCACACAGTCCCCTTCAGATGGCATAGGCTGCAGCACTGTCAAAGAATGCAATCCCTCCCAGCCAGCTATCTCCTTCCCTGTACCATCCTCCTCCTGTGCAAGCAAACACAAGTGTGCAGCTATGTAATGAACTGAACTGGAAAAGCAGCATACATATTAATTTTTTTCCCCAGGTTAAGTTCAACACAATCAGTTGTCCAATTCGCTCACCACATGACCACACATACGCTTGCACCAGCACAAAGAGGAGAGTCAATGCAGGGACAGCGCTTGCCTTTTTACTCTTCCAGCAGCAAAGCCGAGTTAAGGCTATCCTACAGTGGTACACGTTACTAATCTCTGTGTTCACATGCACAAACTCTTCAGTTGGTAATAAACCTCCCCAAAAAATCAAGGGAAAAATGCCAAACTGAAGCAATTATAAACGCTGCCATGAGACGATTACAAGTATCTTGGTTTTGCTGAAATGTCAGCGTATTCAAAAGGCAGAATAATTGACTAGGATTCACTTCCATCTATGAAATTGCTGAGGACTCTAATTCATGACAGCATTAATGGTTCACATTAACAACTCTTGCCTTGTATATTATGACAATGTTTGTGGTTTTATCTGTTATGTAAAACCAGTAAGTTAGTTAAACACACACAGAAAAAAAACACATAGGAAGGAAAAAGGGGAGGGAGCCTGACTGTGTTTAATAAGATGATATATAGTAGTTCCTTAAAGAAAAGCCAAAAATCTATTATCAGATTTCTTAACTAGGTCAAACAACATTATTATCTGGTATAATTATGTTCAGTGGGATTCATTTACTCATGAACTTGCAATCCGTAACACTGTAAGAAGGGTCTACGTGGATTTTAAATAGCATGTTTAATGGAAAAAAAAAATCTCATTACAGGACAGGATTAAATAATTTATTTCTGCTATCCTGTGCCATCAAAGCATAAGCCATTCTCTGCTCTTTGCTGCCAGTGAAAATTTAAGTTTCAAACATTATTTTGAAGCTGCAAAACATGGACCGTTCTACAGTACTTCAGATGAAATCTGGAACCAAAAAATCATACCACTTGCAACAGTTCAAAACCAAAAAACGACTTTCATAAATCGTTTGAAAACACTGAATGTTATTCACTTGAAACAAATGATATTTGTTTACTCTGGTGCGAGCTAGCGCTACGTGGGAAATCTGGGACCAAGTGTCATAGGAAATCTCTGTTAAACAGTATTGTTTGGTTGCTAGGGCCACACCAAATTGTTTGGATAGTTTCAAGGAACAGTAAAACAATACAAAAGATAATTAGACAGACAACATACTCCTACGTCAAAAGGCAACACACCCTCATGTATGCTAAATTAGAAACAAAGTTGTTTCATGTTAAACACAAGTGTCCAGAACTAGGAAAGGTTACTTAATTATCCAAGTTGATATTAAAGAATGCTGTTTTTATCATCCTGCTTCTCGCTGTACAGCCCAAACACATCGAGTACTTGAGGATTTTGAGGAGCAGTGTCCTATTTACCAACGAGATTATTCAGAATTCAAACATACAAAGCAGATACCAAAAGATACCAAACGCACCCCAGCCTCTGACAGTCTGTGAGTGCATTTTACTTCATGGCTAATATGAAATCATGATTTTTACTTTTCGTACGCTTTTTTTGGTACTGCTTTACACTTAGCCAAGTATTGACACTTCATATGTGCTTTAAATAGCACTTATAAAGTTTTTCATCTCTTTTCCTTTAACTGAAATTTGCTTTCAGTTACTGCTGTTTCTCAGGAAGTTGAAATGGTCGGACTGAAGCAAAACTTCCATCAGGTATCTCCCCTCTTTCGAGATATCAGAAAATATATCTAGAATTATTTTATGTATTTTAAACAAGGTATCCAACTATAAAATAAGGATACTCAACACACTTCTGAGAGGGCCTCCATAGGATCAACAAGCAGATCATATTCTTGGTTGCTATTTTTAAGTTCATTGCTAAGGTAGTAAATCATTTTACACAGCTCACATTTAATGATTAAGCTTTTTATTATTATTTTTGCAGCACATGTAATATCACAGGTACTTTCAAGTTTCCTGTGATACTTGTCGCAGAATAGGGTTTGCATGTCCAACTGACAATATGAAAAATTCTCAAAGATTGAAAATATTATCTGTGTGGTTACTTAAAGGAATTTTAATTAAGCTCCTTGTTTTCTACTCTGATAAACATCTAGAACATTTCATCCTACCTCACAGAAGTGATATTAATATACATGGAAACATATCTGTAACAATTGTTAGAGTACTTCATAGCAACAAATCCTCACTTA